TTCAACATGATCAACCCCTAGAATGCGGTTCTCCTCGGACTGACGCACACGAACAGTTGACAATTCTCTGAAGTGAGAGATCCTGATGTTAACTGACAGATTTGCAGTCCGAATCTATAGCAACACTTTTGTTTCACAAGAATGCTGGGTTGTGAACAAAACTTTCGCCCCAGGCGGGACTAGAACCCGCACCTCTCGCTTTCCGGGCAAGTGCGCTACCAGTTACGCTACCGGGCACCATTTCGGCCAAAAACAGCAGTTAAGAAACAAAAACAAGTCAAAAAATCACTTTTGTACTTCTTAAACGAATTTTTTGGTGGACGGTGGGGTAGCAGGGCTTTTTATGAACAGTTTTGGTGGAGAATTAAACAACCTTTTCATAGTTCGGCTTTTGAGGGTCGTTTCATGGACTTCGGCCTCTGGAGGGAGGGGGGGGGTCGTATTTCCAAATTTTCCTCGACGGTTCGCTTGACCCTGGGTTGTACTAAGGAAATGAGAGACCAAGCGCGGAGAGGAGAGTATGAGGCGAGAGAGCGCAATAGATGAGAAGGCGCCAGGCAATAGCCTGGTCTATAAAAAAGGATAAATCATTACGGTGTTGATCAATCCCGTTTTGGGATGCGGCACGCATTCTACTTCCATTTACATTCGTAGTGGCATTTGAATGCGATGTGGCCTATACAATGACTTGCGGGGGCCAGCCGATGTACAAGTCAGTGTTTTTATCCTCCCAGACAAGTCTGGTACCAATTAACCGACCCCGGAGGGATGGAAGGCTTGGTTGGCCCGGGCGACTCACGACCCAGGATTTGATCCCCGGACCGCTCGCGTGGTAAGCGCGCCACTTGCCACTACACCACTTCCGCTCTCTAACATAGCGATCTATAGGAGGTTTTGTTGTCGTTTATCAGAAGAACAAGAAGAAACCCGGACGACCTCATCAACAGCTGAACATAAACATGAACATGAAAATTGAGTGTAGAGATGGCAGACATCAGCCCATAGCTCCTTTCTATTAGGCTGAGTCATAAGTAATTGCCGATTTCTTCAGACCCACGCCATTTTTCCCAGAAAATGTTTGTGTTGTTCCCCGCAAAGCAGTATGTGGCGACCTGAGTGTCCTTTCATATTACGAAATTTGACCGTCAGTACTCGTCTTTTGGGAGAAATAATGCCGTTCTCTTCAACACATGTTTGTCACTGTCTATTTTACGAGTTCCGCCTGGGGCACTCAGCAGAGGAGCCTGTCGGAATATTTGTGTATCTGGAGGAACAGACTCGCTAAATGAGAATATCTATTGAGAGTGGTTCGGGAAGCTTTCCACGGCGACTATAACCCTGAAGACCGACCATATTTTGGACATCCAATGGCCGTAGATATGAACGCAAGCAGCTTCTTGAGCTTGCAAGAGCATCTTGAAGGCAACCGGGCATCAGTGACCATCAAACTGTAGTAGACCTTCAGTCCCTCCCAGTGCACCACGTGTCGTTCCCTGAGCTATTGAGAAATTGTAAACACTGGGAAGATGGAATTCACACGAGTTGGACGAGGTGGCTCGAAGGACACGTGTGATCATCTCACAAAGTTTGCTGTATAAAAGGCCGTTGTTTCGATCGGCTTGACAAGGGGTCACTGGGGTTGAGAAGTGCGCAGTCTAGCCAAGCAACCTACGGAGGCATCAGTGGGAAACGTGCAGCTAGCTCAGACAACGACAAGAGCCCAATAGGTGAACTTCACCCTGGAGTAGGTTCGCTCTCCGATTGTACGATTGGCATCATTACAGACCTAAAGCAATACTACCACTGCCGGCGCAGACACCTACTGCTCACAGCTGGATGAACTTCCTTCGGATATCGCAAAGATGAGGCTTCCTATGATTCAGAAAGTACTTATTCCCATTATTTTCGCCCGTCAGTCGCATAGATCATTCCTTTCGAGACTGTTTTTTTCTGGACTTCATTTTTCCACTTACCGTACTCAAATTTGGGACTGCTTTTTTAGAAGAACGAAGTAGTGTTGTACTTTTCTCCATCACATATGCAACAGGTAATTACACATGTTCTTCGATTCGCATTCGTTAAGCAGAACCGTAAAAACTTGGCGTGAGTTCGGCATAGGGCAGAAATAATGGACCAATTGTGGAGCTAAGCGCTGAATTCGTCATACCAATACGGCTTTCAATTTTCTTTTCAGTGCTAATTCCTGCTCTTTCGGTGCTTTAGACTGAAATCTCCTATTATTTGGTTTTTTATAGACTCGTACTCCCCTAATCGGCCTTGCAAAAATTAGTGCAGCGCCGTTAAAGGGTGCTAAATTGCTGTTCCAATGTTAAATCAGTTAACTCGTTTTAGACGCTGAGCTGCAATAAACATCGGCGCGATAGGTTAGTGTTTCTCAGGAATTCATGCATGCATAATGAGAATGAGATGTGTCAGAAAAATAGATTGCTAACGTATAAGCTTAAATCGCATTGAACGCAGCAGTTACAGTATTACTTTACACGGAAAAATACCTCATAATGAACCACTAAATGATCTATAGAAAATTTTATTAGAGCATTTTTCCCTTTTAATCAGATTTCCAGTGTACTTTCTTAGATTTTCCAAATGTCCATGCAAGGAAATCTAATTTATTTTTCAGTGAAATCAACTTATTTGCTTTGTAAGGATCAGACCTGTGCTATAAGCAAATTCTTAGAAGCAGTTATATGATAAGAAATTCGAAATTGTAATGCACAAGTCCAACGGTCCCGCCCACAATGCTAGCCTCGCCCCTTCCTGGAAAACCGGAATCATCTTTGCGAAGGCTGCGGATATCCAGAATAAGTTGACTGAACGGTTTCCATGTCCTATCTGAAAAGAAGACACATTCTAAACGACTTTAGGTGGATAAGTCCCTTCCGCGATCAGGACAGGGCTATCCACAGAGTTGTAAAATACGTCCTTCTCTCAGCGAGTACGACGCTTGAGCCTCTTCATTTGCGCTGCGGTGGGCTCAAAGGCACAACAGGCAGACGTTGGGTGAACGCTTCCCTTCACTCCGTAGGATAGACCTCTAGAGGACAATCACAGATGTGGCACTCCGTGCATGGAAATCGCCGACAAGAGCGCTAGGCCTTGCAAAGAAGCTGCAGCAGCTGCAATTTCTCTGTCGTAACAGACTGTTGTCTGGCGCCCTCTCATCTGTTGCGCTCTCTTGCCTCATGCTCTCCTCTTCGCGCTCAGTCTCCCAGTGCCTTAACACTCTCGCATATGAAGGGCAACCCCTCAACTTTCTCAACAAATCTATGGCCTATCCTTTTTCTAACTGCCGGCTCAATCGTACCAGCGTTTTCACATACGTGTGAAAGAAGTGCCCCAGTTTGATCGTGGGCATGCCTTCGGGGTAGCTCGCGATTCCACGGTTTATGTGGTGGGCGTCTGGGTTTTGGGTGTGGGTTTCCCTTATAACACTCTCGTCGTGGGGGTCTAGCGTATCCCGAGTACCATTGGTTTTCTTTGTTGCAGCCTCGATGCGCGTGCCGAGAATCGAATGTCCGGGTATGCCTTCATACCTTCGGATTTATTGTTATTTTTTCATCACCATCGGCAGTGGGCGTGTTATTATTGAGCACAGTTAGCAGCTTAAGTGAGATAGTGGATTATGAGTTTGAAGAGGTTCCAAGAATCGAAAACTCGTTCTCCGATGTGTTAAAGTGTAAAAATG